TTATGTATAATAAGTATGTAATTACAAAAAAAAAGTAAATATGTATTTATATCAGTTGTCTAGCACCCATAGTACAAGCTCTGCTTAGTTTGGGACTAAATGTCGTTGTGTGAATGTAGTAAAATATATTATTATTATATTGATACAGATATAATTTATTCATATTCTATTGTAGATATAAATAAATTCTGCAAAATATACCAAATAAAGTATTTTTCTGTTTTTTCTTTCTTTCACCTTTTGTAAAAAAGATTTCATTCTTAGATATTTTCTGGTAAACGGTTTATTCGAATAACGTCGGCATGATTAATAAGATAATTTCTTCTACTTAAAAAAAAACAAACATTACTGTTCACATCCAAAATATTCAGTTGACAAGTGACCAGGTTTCCCAATATTTCGCTAGCCGGTAACCAGCCAGACCGTTATCCGTTTCATTTTGACGGGCCTGTTGGTCTAGTGGTTAGGGACTCTGACTGCTAAGCCGGAGGTCGTGGGTTCGATTCCCACCCAGGACAAATAATTGTGTGATGAGCACGGTCATTTGTTCTGTGTCTGGGTGTAATTTATCTATAATATGTATCTATTTAAAATATTTAAGTATGTTTATCAGCAGTCTGGTTACCATAGTACAGGCTCTGCCTAGTTTGGGATCAGACGGCCGTGTGTGAGATGTGTAAGATATATTAATATTATTCTCTTTATTAAATTATATATACATATTAATTACATTTTTAAATATATTACAAAAGAAATAAAAATACATTTAAAAATATAAAAAATAGTAGACCACCGACATCGGGTACAGGTACCAAGACACCAGTGGTTAGGACTGCAAAGATAGGAACCTCCTCACTATACGAGCCGTGTCAAGGAGGACTGCCTTCTGTATCAGACCCTTGATCCAGCCGTCCAACGTGAGCCTCTTAAGGTGTTGGTCGAGGCTCTTGGCTATCAATCCGTGAGCAGATACGACTATCGGAACAATTATCACTGAATCGACATTCCACATATCGACAATCTCGTGAGATAAATCCAAATATTTTATTTGTTTTTCTTTTTCAACTTTCACGAGATTCTCGTCATGAGGAACGGCGATATCAACAATCATTGCGCGGCGCTCTAATCGATCTATCACTACAATATCAGGCTTATTAGCAACAATAGTCCTGTCTGTGATAATAGATCGATCCCAATACAACGTGGCCCGACCATTCTCGAGAACTGGGTCGGGCACATACCTGTAGTATGGCACCTCTAGATTCACAAGATGGTATTTAAGGGCAAGCTGTTGGTGTACAATCCTGGCTACTTGGTTGTGCCTATGCAAATATTCACCGTTAGCAAGACGAGAACAACCAGAAATGATATGCCTGATTGATTCCCCAGGACGGTGACATGCCCGACAGATGTCAACCGTACCATCTTTCAGGATATATTTCCGATAGTTATTCGTCATGATAACTTCGTCCATAATCGCACAAACAAAACCTTCAGTTTCTCCGAAGAGATCACCATACCGTAGCCAAGTCGTAGATGCTTTAAAGTCTATATCGGACCCGTTTAGGGCCCGATAAAACCGGCCATGGAGCTCTTTGCCCTTCCATACTTCCCTACGATCATTAGTACTAAATACTACAGGTTTGCGCCAATTCTCTTTAGCCAAAGCGAGCGGGGTGAATCCGATATCCACTGCAACTACATTGCGATGCATTCCCACATCGGTATGTAGAAAATATTCTCTGAGATTGCATATCTCCCGATTGTGTAGGGTCTTGATATTTAATAATCCGCGACCCCCTAGCTTTCGCGGGATATACAATCTCATAACCGATGAACGTGGGTGGTGCATTCGAAATGCAGTCAGCAATGTACGGACTCTCCTATCAAGGGCATCTAGTTCGGTCTGAGTCCATTCAAGTATACCAAAGGAGTACATCAGAATCGACATGACCCAACCATTGCAGGCTCGCACCTTGTTGCCCCCCGATAAAAGACTTTTAAGTACTTTTTTCAAACGGCCAAAAAAGCGTTCCTGCAACGTTTGTTTCATGTCAGATTCTGGTATGCCTAACGACTGTGATATACCCAAATACTTGTAAGTTTCAGTGGCAGACAGAGATCTGAGTTTTGTTGAATCGGAAAGCTCTATTCCTTCAGATTCTACTATCTCACCCTTCTTTACATACATGACTGCACACTTGTCTACACCAAATTCCATTTTGATAGAATTACTAAAGTTTTCCGTCACCTTCAGTAACGCTGACAATTGTAATTTGGTGGGGGCCAGTAGTTTCAAATCATCCATATAAAGAAGGTGAGATATAACTTGATCGTCTTTCTGCAACCTATAGCCTAGCCCTGAACCCTCTAATAAAGTGCTAAGAGGGTTCAAAGCCAGGCAAAACCACAAGGGACTCAGACTATCACCTTGAAATATACCCCGCTCGATCTTTATCGGTGCATCAATTACCGTCGTCTGCCGACATCCTGGATAACGAAGCGCTGTTCTCCATTGCCCCATACATGACTTCAAGAAAGTACACAGAGTTGTATCAATTTTATACAACTCCAGCACCCTCAAAAGCCATGTATGTGGAACCGAGTCATAAGCCTTCTTATAGTCTATCCAACATGTCGCCAAACTCTTACGATTACGACGCACCTGTTGGCTAATGGCCCTGTCTATAATAAGGAGGTCTTTAGTGCCACGGCTCCCACTTCTACATCCATTCTGAGAAACTGACATAATCGAATTATTATTAATGTGTAAAGTAATTTTGAGTCTCAGAATAGATGTAAGAAGTTTGTACATGGTTGGTAAACATGTAATAGGTCTAAAATTTTTGGGATCCATGACACTACCAGACTTATAGAGTAAGTGGGTTATACCAGTGGTTAAAAATTGGGGTAATGAACCCGAATTTAAAGCTGCCTGGAATTGAGATGCCAAACACGCATGTGAGCTTCGGAACCACTTAAGCCAAAAGTTGTGCAGTCCGTCTAAACCAGGTGATTTCCAATTCGGTAATGAACGAACTGCACAGCTTACATCATCTTTATCAATTATAACTGGTTCCATAGGTGTTATAGACTCACATGAGCGTCTGACATCCCGCAACCAATCACCTTCTATATGAGTGACAGGCACCGACCAGATGTTCCGCCAAAAAGTATGTGTGACATTTTCATCTGGCAAATGCCCATGACTCACACATGGATCCGGTTCCTCCCATTTCCGGTACACCCACTTCTCATTTCTTTGGAACATCCGATTCTGATTATACCGATCTATTCGTTTTTTGTACCGTCTTATCCTATTTGCCCATGCATAAATTTTCTGCTTTAGAAAGTCTATGTGCTCTGTGACACATGACATGTACTGTTGAGGACCAATGGTAGTCCCCAAGAATGCCTGTTTCACAAAGCGCATCACTCTCGGCCGCGTATTCCCTGATCGAAAACTAATTAGCTTACCAATAAGCACCCTGGTCTCAGCAATACGACGTTCAATTCTACACTGCCAAGCTGGTACAGTTGATTTAGGTCGAGTAGTAGTGACATTTTCAACTATATTAACACCAGCTACTCGACAAACTGCAACAGCCGCACAATACAGAATAGAATGTGTATCACCAAGATCTTCGCTATTGTCTAAATAATCAGGCAATAACGAATCCAGGGCACCCACAAGCGCTAAATTTCGTTTATGAATGGGCAAACGGGACAATCGGGGTCTATTATTCCAATGCACATACCGGTACTCTAGAATCGCATCCTCCAAAGCGCTCCTTATCCTGTCATTGTATTGGGTACTTACAGATATAACTTCACCCTCCACTAATTCATCAACATCATTGGTATGTGATACAAACTGAGGTGTGCTATTAGCTACCAAATCCACAGTGTGTGACGAAGAAGGGATAATCAAGCTATTCCGTATGTCAGAGCGTATCCTCTCAAGTACTGCATCATCCAGCAGATGACAACGCTGTATAGCTCGTACTTGATCCGACAATCGTTGTGCTGATACGTTGACAGCAGGTTCAAGCTCCTGAAACAAAGAGACTAGTCGAACACGGTACGCAGTAAGGTTTGTTCCCATCTCTGTAGCCCGATAATATGCCCGCATGACATTCTCATTGATAGAATTTGTCCACTTCATGCGGCGCACATTACCACCGGTAGCGGGGACCCTATTCGAGGTCAATGGTCCTCGGGATCCTAAGCAGATCGGTGGCCGGCCTCTCCCCTGCCGACGTACAGGTGTTGGCGACGTCGGCGGAGAGAAAAACTCGTCACTTGAAGTCGAGCTCGACGCCTCAGCCACGGCCGGAGCTTCTGTTGTGGTTTCCGTGGACGGCAAGACGGAGCGGAGCGACGAGTCCGGGGATGTTAATTGTGCTTTCGACCTAGCTCTTGTTATCATTCTACAGTCTTTCTTGGGTGGAAAAATACTTTCATGTATTTTGACATGACGTTAGACGTCATGTCTATATGCATATACTTTATTTATTTTTGGTTTATCTATTTTAAACATTTTTAATGATATTTTTATATAAAGCATCCATTTTATTGTTCTTTAATTTGTTTAGCTTATTTTACGATATTGTAAATTGTTGTAAAATCTATTTGTTTCGAAAATATGTAAAAGAAATGTCGACTGTTTTCAGTGTTGCTAGTTATTATATTATTATATTATAGTTATTATATTATATTATTATTATTAATATTTCTAATATTTTCATTTTGTAAATCCATATTCAGTTAATTTACACCGCAAGCTACAGGACCCAATTGCTGAACAAATACGTTCAGTTAAAACAGTATGAAAAATTAACAGCTAGAATTGATGATATCTTTTATTTTTACATAATGACAATATTATACGTTCTTAAAACTAACAGCAAATACTCGTAATATATTTATATTTCTATATTACCCCTTGTTCAGTGTTGAAAGGACAGCAGGGTGTCGCGTTCACCGCTCACGGCTATAATTCAGTGTCTTGGATGAGCACCACGGTGCAGAGGCGACAGCTTATTGACCATATACCTTCCACCATCATCAGCATTCTTTGCATCAGAACTTTCTCCAATAGCAATATCCGCACAGGAATAAAACTCTTCTTGAATTCCACAGCCCAACCGACGTGTTCCATCGGGACATTTTCCGGCGTTATTGCCAGAAGTGTATTTCCATTGAAGAACACAATGTTCACAGGTTAGATCAGAAGGGAGGCGGTAAGCCACGTTGTAGGACCCAGATTCTCTTAGCGGATAGTATTTAGTTCCACCACCAACGAGTTGCAAGAGATAGCCGTTGTCGAAACAAGCTTGCTCTTGGTAGTAAGGTTCGGTGCAGATGCGAAGTTCCCAAAAGCCCCTGTGAGCGGCGGTGAGGTTCACGTTGGTAGACATGACTTGGCCCGGTTGGTAGTGGGCGACGATGATCCCCGCGCCGTAGATACCTCCAAGTTCATGCTTGCGAGGTCGTGGCTCATCGTAGGGGTCGCCACATATGCCGCATCTAAGAATCATGCATTTCTAACATTTAGAGATTTTTTGGTGAGTTCAATTTCTACTCAGAAAATTTTTTCGGTGTTGAGCACTATTGTTTGTTAATGTCTGGGTTTTTATTTATTTAGTTACTAGCTGGTACCCGCGACTTCGTTCGAGTGAAATTTGAAAAGCGCTACTTTAGTGGCACTAACCCGGGAGTCGGTGGGTTCGACTCCCGGATCGGGCAAAATTTTAAAAGGTTTACTTGACAGGGAAAATAGCCTAAGTTACTTCTTATATAGACAGCTACCTAGTAGTAAGATATTATCAAAATCGGTCTAGCTGTTTAGAAGATTACGCGGAACAAACAGGCAGACAGACAAAAAAAACTGGTTTTTAATCATAGGTATCGTGCAAATAACCGCGTGAGCATGAAAAAAACCTATTATATTGACATTACAAACAGACATTTCGATTTATTCATTTGTATAGATACGTTTAGTTATACATAAGTACTAGTTTTAGCTCGCGGCTTCACCGCGTGTATAACAATAACGGGCGATAAACGTATCGCGGTAAAAAGTAAGCCCATGTAACTAGCTATATAATAATAATAATAATGTTGCTTTCCATTGGTAACTTGACTGCACGGATGGCGTAGTGGTTTAAGGTCACCTTCCCACTGCACTGAGTGTCGTGGGTTCGTTCTCCACATGAGACTACACTTTGTGTGATCCACAAATTGTTGTTCTGAGTGTCGGTGTTCTTTGTGTCCGATACATGTATGTTTGTAAAGTCCCTCGCGACACAGGATATATTTCTAGTGCGGGAGTTGTCATTGTAAAATTGTTGACGGAATTTAGTTTAGGCGTTAAAGCGTAACAAACGAACAAATCGCTCCGCTTGCATATATATCAGTTATCGCGGTAAAAACTAGCCTACGAGTACGTTATTCGCTGAAAATGTAGCTTTCCATTGGTGAAGGAGTCTGCTGCTGCTGCAGTCTGGTTGCCACAGTGCAGGCACTACCTAGTTTGGGATCAGACGGCCGTGTAAAATAATTTCAAGTTACTACCGCTATTATTTCTATAAATGAATGCATTTTTAATCAGAAATGTCGGCCACTACACGGTTTTATGAAGGGATTGTACTGCTAAGAAGGAAACTTTTAGTTACTTTCTGTTCCGTTTAGGTCTTAAAGTGGAAACACGACACTGAATTAAAATATTTATACTATTTTTGTTGTCCTTAAAATAAAACATAGACTTAGCACTTGATAGTGAGTTGTATACAGGTTTCCCGAAGTAGTTGTATCTTTACAAATTTGTCAAACAATAATTGTAATCTGTTGACAATTCAGAGGAGTTTTCTAGCGGTTATCAAGAGGCTTCGAGTATTGCTAGCCATCGTATACCAAATTTAAAATAAGATTCATTAAAATACATTTTACAAGATATTTTTTTCCTCTGAATACTTACTTGCCACCATTAAAGTGATGCTGGTGAGATATTCCTCCGCAGTTCATGCCAGCGTCATTAAAGTCGGGTTTCACGTTATAACCGAGACGCCATATTGATGCTCTATTCGGAGGCATCATCAAGTGTCCATGGGAATGTACATATGCCATTACACAGGCGAAAGTCAGTAGTCCTATCCAAGTCATCTGCCAGAGAAAGTAACAATTGCATATTTTCTTGAATCTTTTAAAAAAAGTTGTTAAGTTCAGTTCAGGAAGTCATAAAACTGCCAAAAAAAAACAAGTTTACCACGTTAGATTGTCTCAGGGCTATAATTTTGAATTGAATTGTGATATATTAAAAACATACATAACAGGAGACAAATGCAGAGATATCTATACCCGAAGGACAGACTTCATCATCATGGCTTTAGCTCCTGGAAGACTACGTGGAGTAGTCGTTTCGGCCTCAGTAACCATCCGTTTTGCGAGATGTGTATCATTGCCACATATGACACATGTATTCATTTAGATTTTTTAAATGGAACTAATCCCACCCACACGCCCACCACTGTAACTCCTGTACACCAGGATCCACAGCAGTGACCCACGAACACACCGAGTTATGACACTCAGGAAGTCCCAGGAAGAAATTAAACTGTCTTGGAACCCGCAACGAAATTAATGAGAAGAAAATTGGAGGAGTTGGAAATACAGTAAATCCACTTCCCTCCTTAGCAAAGCGGGAGACAAAATGAAGTAAAATAGGCATACACCCGTTTAAACAGGGAAACACCACGGCCACAAAATATTACGGGTCCTAGGTGAGCTATATTTCATTTCTATACATATATTCATTTAGATAAGATGCAATAGGAATTTATTTTAGAAGCATAATTTACTTAATCAAAAATGAAATAATATCGAAACCGCCTATCAAATATTCTATAGCCATTTATGCCTGAAGAGTACTCTAACATATGTTAGCAGGTCGCAAATTGACTTACCGCTGTTTCTAAGGATGAAACTTGATTGCAGAAGAATCTTTATCGTTCAGAGTTATCAGAGTTATTTATAGTTTTAAAGTTATAATTATACTTAAGCACCTGATAGCGATAACAAAAGTTGCACTTCTCTGAATTAATGTAAATTCAGAAGCACTTAAATACTAGATAATTTGTAAGCAACGACATTGCGCCTTTGAAGATATTAAATGCAATCCGAAACGCATCGAAAACATAACAGAAAATAAGACGCGTTCTTAATTAAATTTTGTTGTTATTGTATATAAAGAATAAGTCACAATACTGACAATAAGTAAGTACACTTATTGTCAGTATTGAGACTCCATAGATATTACTTTGGATAAACGTTATTTTTTATTATTTTTAACATTACTGTAGACTGACCATGCAAAATTAATTAGTGTAATTGTAGATATGTGTTGGAACATAATAGGTATTGTTATTTTAATGATTCTTTTAATAAAATAGGTAGTCCAATACCTGAGTTTATTATTATTATCTTCTATTTAATTGTTAAAATTAGTTATTTGTTAGTGATTGGTGAATGGTGTCAGAAGTTTATCTATCTATCTGTCTGTATGGTTTATCTATCTAAATTATAAAGGTGAAAATTATCATTCGGAATTAGTCAATTTTTATTAATTAAATTAAGTTGTTACAGTCACAAAAACTTAACGAAAAATTTGGTTTTCGTTAAGTTTTTGTGAAGAACACGGCCTGAAAGTGCATTGAATCATCATCAGCATCATACTAAAGCATTTCAAGTAATACTGTCCAATGAAATATACCAAAAAAATAATAATAATACTTTTGGCCACCTAACACACAACGCCATCTAGTTTCAAACTAAGCAGAGCTTGTACTATAAAAACTAGATTGACTGATAGAATACTTATTTTCTGTTTTTTAAATACATACATATTAAACATAGAAAACACCAAAACAAATATTTGCAGATCATGCAAAAATTTGGTCCGATCCGGGAATCAAACCCAAGACCTCAGCACAGCAGTCGCATACACTACCACTGCGCCACCGAAGCAGCAAATAAATGTCTATAGTCGAAATTAGACCATCAAGCAATCTCTAGTTATCTTTAAGACTTCCAATAAGACATGTTTTCTGTACAGAAACAATAAATTACTGTTAATTAATGCCGAGTCCCTTTTGAACAATAATTTATTCTTCTATTTGTCGAAGAAGACGGCTTTAAATCAATGTAACCAAGTTATTGGTGAATTTAATTAAATCTGCGACTGATTACGAACGGAACTTGGTTTGTCGCCAGATTCCAATGTCCTGACACAGTTTGAAATTGAAACAATCGAGATAGTGGACTGCGATTGTCGGCAACTGTAATGAACTTGTATCGACTATGATCCAACCTTCATTAAGGGCTATTTAGATTTAATATTAAAATAGACGAAGTCTTTTCTTGGTTTCATCATCATCATCAACAGCCTATGACAGTCCACTGCTGGACATAGGCCTCTCCTTAGAAAGGAGGTTTAATGTTTTCATTTTGCTTAATTTAGGTCTATGAAATTCTTTTCATTTCACATCAGTTACTTGTACATATCCGCCCATGGCCACCTGCTACTTGATTCACAAGTGCGTTGCCGTCCGTTGAGATAAAAAAAAACAGAGAAAGTGTGATTTAGAATCCGGTGACCACACTCGGGAAAACCAATGACAGAACTGCCTAACACTAGTTTTCTGTAAGTCCTTGGTATCACTCCGGTCGAGCCTGGACCATATGTGCCGCAGCATGACTCTTCCACGATAATTCGGCGTTTTATCTTCCTTGCTGTTCGCAGTCTTTATAAACTCTACTTTCAACAATTTAGCTTCCTCTGACCACCTTTATGCAGACGATTTACAGTTCTATGTTCAAGCACCCGTGGAACAACTAGGAACAACAATCACAATAATAAACAGGGATATAGAGTAGATTTGTGTATGGAGCAGGCAGAATGGGTTATACGTGAACCCATCAAAAATACAAGCAATCGTAATCGGTAGCACTAATACCTTATCTATACTGATCATGCACACCTGCCCCCCCCCCCCCGCAAACACACACATACACATACATTCACACATACATCATCAATACGTTTATTACATTTATATAAATTCATATGTTTCAAATGTTTTTGGTATTGATAAGTAAGACAACATTAACTGTGTAAATTTAATTTACAAGTTGTACAGGGCAATTTTAATTTTAATTAAATTATGTATATCTGCATAAAAAAACTCAATGTCACTGGAAGGTAGCTGGTACCTATATCTCAGGTTTTACCTTTTTAGGCATATTCTTTATGTAATTGTTATAGCTAAAAAAAATTGCACCCTTTTTATTACCATATTCTGTACAATTTACCTTGAATAAATAAATAAAGTCTTGAGCCGTAGTCCCGATTTCGAACACCGACAAAATTCTGGGAATTCATTTTGATAAAAACTTGTCCTGGGGTCCGCAACCACAAGAAGTCAGTAAAAAATTGCTTCTGCCGGATCTCTGAGAAGGCTGCGTAACTTCTTAATAATTACGACTAAAATTGAGCTTGCAGAATACCTTCTTCTCCCAATCCTCGATTACGCAGATGCCAGCTATCCTGCTCTCACCGAGGACCAACTTAATGAGGTTGAGGAGCTTCAAAACTTTTGCATAAGGTTCACTTTTGGATTGCGCAAATTTGACCATGTTTCTTAATATCGGAATAAGCTCAACTGGGTACCCGTACGTCTTTGCTGAAAAATCGGTATCCTTTCACTATTATACAATATACTCTTTAATCCCAACACTCCACTTTATTTAAAGGAACCCTTCAAATTCATACATGATACGCGAGGTTGCTAAGACATTCTACGACTTTTATGGACAAGTCATTTACTGTGCAAGCCATGCGTTTGTAGAATGCATTACCACTGCCCATTAGACGAGCACAAACACTCGCTATCTTTAAAAAAATATTGAATGAGCATTTCCTAAACTGTTGAGCGATGAGAGGACCCTGATGTCCTTAAATCCCGTGTGTGCCCACATCTTATTCCTGCTTTTAAATGTATCCTGTCTTGTGTAGTGCATATGTGTGTCTAATAGTGTATATGTGTATTCAGTGAGTTGTAAGTAATTATATGAGTTTGTTAGTCTTATATCTTGAATCGTACCATCGTATCGTAGTGTAAAATTGCAACTTCCCTCTTTAATTTCCTTTTCCATCCAGCAGTTGCCTGGAAGAGGCCGCCAATTGTACAATTATTTTATATCATCATCATAGGCCTCTCCTTAGAAAGGAGGTTTTGGCCTACTATACCACGCTGGCCAGACGGGTTGGTATAGGGTTTGTTTCAAGTTTTCCTTTTCTTTGCAGTGCTGTTGTCCTGCTTAGTTTGCTCCCTTAGTCGGCTCTTACGACACCCACGGGATGAATTGGGGTGGTGACAATTTGTATTCTTAATCCGTCACCACACGGACATTATTTTATTTACTATAACTAGATTATAAGACTCATTCAAATGTATACAAACTGTTCTATAATGATGTCCTTTTTTCTTGTACAATAAAGAGTTATCTATCTATCTATAACCAAATTAACTTTCCTACCGTTTTCGGTATTGTAATCGTTATCACTCGTCTTAAATACAGGGTAGGTACAGCGGCCTATTCACTGCAGGGTTAATTAACAGTACTTGCGGCCGCGCAATGTAATAACGTGGTCTCAAAGACCCAAAGTTTATGTGTTTCGGTCCTGTTTTATTCTTAGCTCCGTGACGGTTAAACATGGGATTAGTTTGGGTACAAGATTGTTGAATAATCTGTTTCTAGTTTGATTGAGTTCTTCGTGAGATGGTTTCATTATACAGAGTATACTACAGAAATGGATTTCCAGCCGACTTCAAAAGACGATTCCCAATTTTTGTTTTTTTTTTTTTATGTTTGTTACTTCAGAACTCCGTCGTTTAGGAACCGATTAGGGGAAAAGCTTTATTATTTGAAAATTCTTCCCGTTAGGACCCATTCAAATTTGAAGAAAAAAAAATTATGAATGAAGATTACAGTTTATTATAATGCATCATAATGTTCACTGGAGTGTAAAAATCTATACAAATAAATAAAATTGGAGTGTCTGTTTGTAATATTAAAATAACCGCTTTTTACTAAATGCATATGTATGTTTACACGGTACATATGCCAAAATAACATTTTTACAAATTTTTGTCTGTCTGTCTGTTTGTTTCGGGTAATCTCTGGAACGGCTTGACCGATTTCGACGGGACTTTCATTTGCAGATAGCTGATGACAGAAGGAGTAACTTACTACTTTTTTTAGACTAGCTTCGCCCGCGGTTATAACAACAAACGCGGGTAACACCGCGGGTCTCAGCTAGTCTATAATAAATATTATAGTTAAAACCTACTTGTTCAACAATCTCTACTCGTCCGATA